AGGAATAAGGTTCGCGTTTTCAACACTTATTTAAAGTCAGTCAATGATTCTACACGGATCAGAAACTTAGTAAACTACTGAGTATATTTCCAAAAGCCCTTCACGGACTTTATTGACAGCTGAAGATCAGATGGCTGGAAATGATAAGCAACAAGGAATCCGCAGTGTCTCAAACCAACCAATAACTTATCACCAGCCAAATATGCAGGAGGAAATGGATATGGATTAGACATACGCTGAGGAGATCATCGAGTGACATGACAATGCAAACCGCCGAGTGCAACTCGAATAGCGAACGACAAATTAAGGGTATTTCCGAGTGTGATTATATGAGGAGGAAATGAAAACATTTAGGAAATCGTTGAGCCAGCTAACAAAGACTGCACGGAACAGAGTGGAATGTAGATGTACTACGGAAGCTCCATTGGAATAATAATGTACTAATTATAATTTCAGCTCGATGGCTGGACCATTTTGTCTCGTAACCTGAAGACTCTCGTTTCTATCATTCGCCGTGTTGTGGGTGTGCGTAGTGAAGAGTCCGAAGTTTGGACAGAGTAGTTGTCTATAGCTGCCTGATTCTCTAACGAATGGCGGTTCATGATCCATTCCACCTCGTAATCTATCAAATATACACAAAGTAACACGCAAAAGTATGAAATAACATGTTAACTACTGAATTTAAGTCACGAAGTATTAATGATAGACATGGCGAATAGCACCTCATGAAACGCGTCTCTAAAACTATTGTATAGCTCATTTGCCTATGTATTGTCTACATTACAGAAAGTAAATTTTCATTCACCATAAATAGAATAAGCGACACAGCTTGTCAACTTGAGTTACTGATATTTTATAGGACAAGTATATCGAACAAGACTGTAATGCCACATACTTGTCTTATTCGGTTACTTATAATAAGTGGACATATTTTATGATATCTTTATAAGAATTGTAAATTTCTTGAGTTACAGGCGTATGGTATCTCAAAAAGTTAAATATTTTGATTTTAAAGTCACGTTTTCCTCGTTTATTTGGAATATCTTCTACTGGTTTGTCAAAAGTAATAACGTCAGAACTACTAAACATACATGTGAGCATAAAGGCATTCTGTTTCAATTTCACGATGTATCATGTGATTGGATATTCTGAAATGCAACATGTGATTGGTTGCTTTATTTAGCACTGATTGCATGAATCGGAATTCATCAGAGGATGCGTAACGTTGCATGGATTTAAAAATATAAACTCTCTGGCACACACTTTTCTAATAGTAGGCTTTTACTAAGCACATGATCCATTATCAATTTCCGCTTCTAGTATATTCAAAACTCAAACATATCTTAAGTACAGTCATATGAAAGAAAATACAATAAAATCTGTTGTGCATGAAATCAATTGAGTCGGTGTGTCATGCAAAGATGATTTTCCTTAGTAGAAAATCGTTCTCACCATCATTAAAACCTTGTTCACCCGTATCACATATATATGTCATTATTTTTGATGTATACGATACGAACTTGGCTTACGGGTTATTGGAATGTTAAATTGAAAAACCACAAGTTGGTATACCCACTGTTTAATTCGCAGCCCAAAACACTCGATGACACCTAATGACAATGGGTTAAATTAGTGGTCAACATAACATGAGAAATTGAAAGCCAGAAAGCAGAATATGCTCACATGTACTTGATTTTTTAACAGCCTTCTAAATAACCCCAGTTCAAGAGGACTCGACCTTAAAAGGAGCTGACAATCGTATAGTTTATATGCACTTTTACCATTTTGCCGTTGATTGAATAATGGCTGTTAGCACTCAGCACAGTGAACAACTATGACACTTGTCATTAATATAAGAAAAAAATTTGCTCACATATTTAGTAGAAAATGCTACAATAAGTCAGTTTGTTTGATAAAGACCATATTTTCACTATTTTCTGTCTCAAACAACGCAGAAGTTTTCACAGTATTATTCCAGTTAAAGTAACCGTATTCTACATAGCACACAAAGGTAGAGAAAAAAGTTTCAAAAGAATGATGATGGGCGAAAATGTATGGCAGAAAGAATAATTACATAGAGAATGATGGAGATCTAGTGGTTCATGCAAATCATAAAGACCGGGTACACCTGAACCAATAAGGACGATTTTGAACCATATCACTAGCTATTAGTTCTCACAGTCTTCAGGACTAAAACCAGGCAGTCTACACCTCTTCACGTGAATGGCTTAAACCAACAGTAAAAGAATTCAGTGACTGATACCCGGTTTTTATTTGACCACCCGTAGCTCTTTCCAAAAATAATCCTATGTCAACCAACATGGCTGAAAGAGGAAGGTGGTGGCTTGACATGCACGACTCGTGTCCTGTCATCTGGGGCGATGTAGATTCAAAACCTCATCAAATGACTTGCCATTCTTACTTGAAATTCTTCGCCTAATGTTAATACTGCTCACCATATTTATGCAACTTAATAAGGGAGATAGGACGCAAACATCATGATCAAAGACATGTCCCACAGCCATAAAGAAGATATGGAAGAAATCACTGTGTTACAGAATATCATTTATTATCCAGGAGCAGATTCATAATTTAATCTTATTTAGAATCAAAATAAGTTATAAACAGAAGTGAGAATTGCACAACGTGAGTGAAATCAACTATTAAGTGAAAAACAAATCCAAGCAGTAACCTTCCAGCTCAAGTGGATGATTTCTTTGACGCAGTTAGTTTTGCATTTAAGTATAATGACCAGAAACTGTGCTACGTAAATTGCTGACTAACTTAGAGAAACTCTGATAACATTAAGGCTAATTAACATCTGGTTCAAGTTCTTTTTCTGCTCGATAACGATAGCTTAGGGAAACTGAAAACAGTATGGAGTTGTACATCTCAAAGTCAGTATTTTGGTTTCGCAAGAACACCTGTTTTAAAACTTTCGTCAACTAAATAATCAGTAACATGATGTATTTCTATTCATAAGCTCACATAGACATTAACAGTTACGACGAAAGTGGCGTAATATTATCCAGTGGTTGAATTGAGGATGTTTTTCATGTCACTGCTACTCGCAGTGCATTGGTGGTCCCACGTATGTGGTCTGGATTTGACAACCGGTCTATACACTTCTAAACCTAACTGAGTGTACAAGCCAACAGCAAGCCTCGGGAAAAAAGAAGGTTCAGCGTGAGGCTAACAACTGCCCTTCGTAAGAACTACAACGAAACTACTGAAAATTCAAAAGCTTGGAGCCTCATGTTCCACTGAGAATGTAAAACAAACTCATGGTTTTGTTGGGACTAACTTATGCGAAGTATCAAACTTATCATTAAAATAATGCCATCATCTGAGTTATTTAAACATTAGAAGCGTCTGGAAACGAAGATGCTAGGTCAACCGTACTTGGAATTTGGATTCAATTCCCTCCAGACGCACTCTTAAGCTTTGCCTTGCCTACTGGACCGTGATAAATTGTGTGTGCTGGATATGAGGCTGGTGACTTCGCTCCATGAACAAACAACACTGCTAATGAGACTTCATACCTCAAGCTTAAAGCCTTATGTTTCACCCTGAGCGCAAGTGGATGAGAAAAGTTCTCAGTGGAGACAAGATCAATCACAACAATGTAGGTGCATTAAGTTGACAAGTGTTAAATAAAACACAATCTATTTTCCTTTGTTTAACTGCTAACTATCATAAAACAACTGGATGATATCACAAATACTTTTTGCTGATAGATTTACAAATATTTGTAACCTATAGTATTTTTTTATTTTAAAAGTCATCCTTCTTCAAATGCAAACGAGAGGGAAGTTTCACTTCGGTAATACACGTGGATGTGATTTGTAAGTCACATTTGGACACTGGGTTAGATTGTGCATCGCAAATAGTATAAAAGTCGAAGATGAATCTGGAATAATGCGTTGAGGCGGGATTAAAATAAGCAACCTCTGACCTACTAGCTCAGCGCTCTTTCACATTTGCTACTATACTCAGATGCTAACCATATCATTGAATTACAGCTGTCGCACTTATCACCACATTAATCTACGACTGGCAGAGTACTACAAGTAAAATGGATGAAAGTTGCGGGTAAAATGAAAATTTGAGACGTGAACAGTTACGTATTATTTTGTGACATGAGAGCTTGGCATAACTCTTGATGGTTGCAGTGAAATGGTGACCTGATCAGCATCTGGGTAGAACATTAGGCTATCAATCCGAAGAAGGATGATTCACAACCTAGATGTCTACCTCACGTTCAGTCATCATCCATTACATGGAGTGTGGCGACTTGAACTGCCGCACATATGTGCAAAGTTCTATGTCGAAAACCGACCGACATCTCTGACAGTTCGCAAAACAAAGATAGTCTTACCATCAAGTATAACTGTTGTTTCACAGTTTATGACTGAAATATTATCATTTATAAGATGATGACAATTTTTTTCTATATGATAACGAGGTAATGGAATGAGACTTTCGGCTGAGATGAGCAAAAACAACATTTCTATTTTCTATTAGCGCTTCTCGATGATCTGACCTAAGGTCATTTTTAGTAGCTCTTCTTTGCAATGTGATTTCTGCGTCAGTGATTCAATGGTTCAATTCTTGCCAGTTTCACAGGTGATCATAATTCGATTCCTGGTCGGCGCACTCACGTACCTTGCGTAGTTGCTTATCCCGTAGTAATGCTGTAATACTGGAGGTGTGTTGCACGAGTCCAGCTACTCCACCGTGTAAAAATAACGCCACCATTACTGAAACTTCAAAGGTGGAAGCCTTATGTTTCGTTAGGAACGCACGGAAAGAAAAAAAGTAGCATAAATACACATTTACTTGTAAGAGTTTCATTCTTTTTTCTCTTAAAATTATTTGTTTAAGGTGTAAAAAAAATTATATAAATCTATCAAGCTGTGTGTGTCACTTCTGTAATTCAACAATGTTGAAAGGTGAAAAAGCAAAAATTCCTACAGAAATTTATGTTGACATTAACTTACCGTTTTTTAACTAAATAAATTGATGCTATCTTTGGCAAAATAATCATCTGTGAAAAATCGTTAAAACCATTTTCCAAAAATTTTATTGCAATATTTTTTTGAACAAGATCTAGAATTTGAAAAAAAGGGTGATAAATAAATGGTATGAAATGGTTTTAATATTATAAAAATTTAATTAAATATTTGGTATTGTTTAAGGGACCATTGAAAATCAAGGAATAGGAAAGATTTCATAATGACTTAAACCGTGGTGATGTGATTCGCTTTAGGATTAAATACGGCAAATCTTGAAGTGAATCTATTTCAAAAATATGATCTCAATCGAATTCAGTAACCTAGAGATTGATTTGTTGTTGTCAGGGAGCAGTCTCATCGACTTGGTGTAGATAGATGATATTATCCTTCTAGGTAAAAACACTCGTGGAATGCAGAGTCTTCCGAACATTTTTAGCAGAAATCCGAGGATGTTGGGCATGTGTTTCGCCTCTATCTAATGTAAGATGATGATGTAGGACCGGTCTTTACCTACTGTCAGTTTAAAAATGAGAAGTGAATTGGTTGAGCGTGTTGACTATTTCACTTATTTGAGAAGCTGAGTCAGTCTCAATCAACTAAATGCTGACAAAATCTCAGCATGAATTCAAATGGTTTGTGCGGCATCTCCAGTTAACGTCATCTCTCGCGTACACGTGATATTCGGATATCGATCAGAGGATGTGTGCACTCCACAACAGTTATCTGTGTACTTCTTCATGGTTGTAGGACATGGTCATTGAAAGTGAAATAAATGAAGATGCTACCTGTCTTTGACCATAAATGTGTTAACTGGTGTAATATGGTGAGTTATAATAAAATCAGATCTAGAGTACTGGGTAAGGAAGTGAAATCAATCTCTGAGGTTGTGAATCCACATCGATCAATATGGCTAGGAAACACATAACATCAAGCACCGCCTTCCTCGACGAGCAGTGTAACATGACATAGGATTGGGTTGGAAAAACGTTGAGGGTGGTCAAATCAAAAGCTACCATCAGTCCGTGAAATCATTGACAGTTATTGTGAACCAGCCACTTAGGTGGTACCGGGACGCTAATAACAAGTAGCCTGAGTTTGTTGGTGATGTAACTCAAATTCGTTGTCAGTGAAGCAGATGCGTCCGTTCTTTGTATTCTCGCAGATCTAATTATTCCTTATATTTTTCCACTTAGTTATTATTTCTTCCGTATATTTCTATTCATCACAGTTCGTTGGAATTTTTTTCTCTACCTCTGTGTTACATAGTGTACTTCTATGTAACATCTTACGCTGAAACTCAGTCATCCCAAAAATATGGGTGATCACATGTTAGTAAGATTTATAAATGAAGGGTAAGGAGCCTAGAAAAACTGTGCTAGCGGCATGAAATAAAACTACTTTTTTATTTAATGCTTCTGTAAATAAAAAAAGGAATTCTCACACACAAAGGGTCAAACTTCGGGTCAAGGAAACAATCAATACCAATACAAGTAGCCTAGGGGGTGTGAAAACACAAAAACAACCAATCACGTTCAAGGTCACCAGGAGGGATGACTAATAAACTCGTGGAGAAATCTAAAAGCTCACTTCAAATTGAAATTTGTGCTGAAGATGTTACCTACTACGGCAATGAAAGTTTCTCAAATAAACCATCCAGCTCAGAGAACACAATTACATCAAAATATTGCAACTTGATGATTATGTGATGTCAAGACGATACTTTATCGAAATTCAGTCGGTAGAGGCACAAGAATTAAGTAACACAAAACGAGTATATAACACTTCCAACATGACTATTTTATTCAAGGGAAAATCCTTTAATCAAAATCAGAATTGCTTAGTATTATAAAACATCTAAGTGTTGACAGTATGACAGTAACACAGGGAATTTTATACATAGACAGAGAGTGAAAGACTGTTTATTTTTAAAACTTTCATCTTTTTACTCTAAATTTTATGTGTAGGAAGACATAAATTACTAACTAAACTTTAGTAATTTTCAAAACAAATACTGAAAACGCATAAACACCTGAAATATGTGCATGCTCTTTATTAGTCTCAATTTTAAGATACTTAATATTGTAAACTGTGTTAAAGCTAATGTGTGTAACGTTTATGTCTACCTCTTATAATGCAAAATATAATAAAAATGTTTGTTTTACTGATGGCATCTTTTCTCTTTGAAATCTTGTTGTGTTAACAGTAAACAGTCGGCGTTAAAAAGTGAAAACAAAATTATTATTTCACTTTTTAAATGTTTCTGTTTTTTTTCTACGCTGAGATTCAATCGAATACTTAAAAGCTTACTAAAATTACTATCTAACATAATACTTAAATGAATCGGAATGATGTCGTTGGGATGGTTGGTGATAATGAGTAGTGGAGTTATATTTATTCGAAACGATGAATGGTGGGTTCAAGTCTCTAAGGGAACACAATCGCTCACTGGAGACGGAAATACACCTAGTTGATAAGTTCCAAGTAGAATGAAAGGAATATCCTGAATTCTATCGCTGACCACCATCAACCAAAGCATCCTAGAAGTGTCTGATATGTCAGCAGCTACTGGAAATTTCAGTCCAATGAAATCAATCAGTGGTGAGTTCAAAACAATTATTTGAATAGATCACAGTGGAATAGTGTTGGTAACTGATAGAATTCAAACTAAGAAGTGTTGTCCATAACGAGAAATTCTAAACTGTAAGCTGGTGTGAACCATCATCGGATAAGTGACCAAGTAGACAAGATAACTCAAAAAGTAAACCAAAAATATTCAATTCAAGGAAAGAAAATATTCAAAAGCCTATCTAGTTGTTATACAGTTAAGATGGAATTAACTTCACACACATGGTTCCTTTGAAAAGTTTCGAAAAACACAAAAGGACTGAATACACAATATAAAGTGATTTCATTTTAATTTCACAGATGCTTATTAGATACAGATTATCTGAAATTGCAGTGGTCATAATAGGCATTAACATGTACATTTATTTGACACTGATGAAAGTTATAATTCATACGTCATTGGACTCTAACTAGGTGGTTGGATGGTCAAGAGGCTCACCTTGGAGCCTGAAGGTTCTGGATTCGATCACTGAAGGAGTTGGTTTTTGTGCACCCTCCTGAAGACTCCCAAACTTGGAAGAAACGGCTCTACAGTGCTGCTAGTCTTTTAACGATGCTCTAACTAATGTCGGCTGGTCAAAAATAAATTGGGAAAAGGTTTACGAATTTCTGTCTTTATCTCATAGACTTCACTTAAACTCAGTTTTACATTCCTTTACAATAACTTTTTATTACATCTCTTTTTAAAAGGGCATACTTTCTGCACATTTGAACAGTTTGTCAATTTACTGAAGTTTGCACCTAAATATTACTGCTGAAAAAACGAAACAAGATCGGATCTGTCTTTTACGTCACATAATAATATAATATTATTATTGTACAAACAGATACAAAGTTGTTTCAAACATCTGTCATTGCTAGGTGATCAACCATGTAGATATTTTATTTTGCATATTTCGTTTATGATATTTCCATGAAACATTCTTTAGAAAACTTAAAAATATAAAAAAACATATTTTATAATTTTCTGACAGTCCAAATATCTTTTGAAGGAATGAATTATTTCAGAGTTGACTTCATTAGGAAACAAACAAAAAATAAGGAATTTATGTAGGGTTGGAAAGTTGCCTTATTCCCATTGAAAGCTTCTAACCAGTTCATATATATATATATACATATATACTGTTTAATCAAGCTCAAAATCACCATGTGTAGATAGCCACCTGATAAAGACAAAGAGTTAAAGTAGATAGTGTTTTTAGGAAAACCTTTGTTAACCAAACAACGTATTTTTAGGTGAGGCTATCACAATAAAACACCTGAAACCTGACTTATGTGTCCATAAAGGAATTGGTCGTTGGAATTCCATTAACTTGGTAAATCTTTCAATTCTTTCTTAAGGCATCTACAGTTTTACCATCTAAAGAAAATATATCTCAACATCTACGTAGTATTTTTAATAAAGCAGGAATTAACGTGGCATTCATTCACATACAAACTCACTCAGTGACAAGTTCTGTGAATTAAAGACTCCCTAATGACCGGTTGAGACAAAATAATATAAACCTACAATATGACATTAGATGGTTGGAGGGAATCGGCCACAGGAAGCCTTGGACCTAGGTTTCGTGCTAGTTGGCACTCGTCAGCAAGGCGTATCTGCAACCTTGGAGGAACTCATGTCCCTTCTGAGATTCGAACCCGCGTTACCCAGTGCTGCAGTCAGAGACGTTACCACTGAGCTATTCGGGCTTGCGATTGACCTCCTGTAGGACTGTTTTGGATACTTTGATTGGACACTAGTAACTAAGTAACTAGTGTGATGTGTCTAGTCCTTTCTTTGGTGCAGACTGAATTCTATCAGTCAGGTTTGCAATGTGGCCACCATTCTATGTAGCTCGCCATCACGGTGTACATTGTTTGTGATGATATTAGATGGTTGGAGGCAATCGGCAGGAAGCCTCATCACAAACAATGTACACCGTGATGGCGAGCTACCTAGAATGGTGGCCATATTACAACCTGACTGATAGAATTCAGTCTGCACCAAAGAGAGGACTAGACGCATCACACTAGTTACTAGTGTCAAATCAAAAAACCTACAATATACCCTGCAATGACTATAAGGTTAACTACAAAGCTCACTACTGGAAGTACGAAGTAATAAATGTATCCTTTTAATGTATGAACTGTGGTTTTATATTTCAATCTACGCTTTATTCTATTTCATAAACTCTAGAATACCAGTTTTTTGTATGAAATAATTTTAGAATAAAAAAACACAAATGAATTGGAGCATTTAAACACTAATAGTGCATTCATCTGGTCTCAATGGCTATGAACACTTAAAGAAAGAATATCGAAGGGGAAGACCACTGACTATGGCAAAAAGTAAATGCATTAGAAAGTAAGAAAAGTGTAGAAAAAGCTGTTCAATGTCCAACATCCTAATAACTTGAAATAAACATTTTGGAAATCTTTTAAGATAAATATTTAAAGTTGAATATCACTTAAATATATTTATTTATT